CTCACCTCTGCAGTGAGGAAGCCCCAGCTTGCTGGCCTGCCGCAGGGTCACCGCGGTGACACGACAGGAGGCTGGCACACAGCAGCTCCATGTGGAGGGGTTGGGCAGGTCCTCTTTCAGCTCCCTGCCAGAGAGGGGAGCGGAAAAGGGTTCGAATCCGTCACAGAGAAGCAGGGACAGGGGAGGACTCGCCGACAGGCAGGGAGAGAGAAACTCAGAGCCTTGTTGGAAGTGTGTAATTCTGTTGTCTCCTCTTCTTACTTTAAAGAAGCTCTGTGAGAAGCTACTTTCAAAGGTGCTATATAAATTAAGCTTCAATCATTATCATTAAATGAGATCATTATAATTAACTATATTATTTTTATTATAGGAGAGGGGCAGGATGGGAAGGGCCGGTGGGGGCGGACCTGAGGCCGACGTGGGTCTCGGTGAAGACGCGCAGCAGGAAGCGCCCGGCGCCCCCGGGGTTAAAGGTCGTGGGGACGATGACGTAGCGGCCCTGCGAGAGCTCCGTGCGCAGGAAGACGCTGCGGGAGTCCATGTAGACGGAGCTGGCCGCTTGCTCACCCACGCGCTGCACTCGGCTCTGCCGGTTCGCCTCCACCTGCGGGAGGGGAGGGAGAGTCGCGAGACCCGGCGTTCGTTTCCACCAGCCCCCCCACCCCCCGGAGCTCCCCCCCCTCCTGCCCCCTCTCTCACCCTCAGCACTTCGAAGCCGATGGGCAGGTTCTCTCCCGCTCCCTCTCTCCTCCGCGCCCTCTTGTCCTCCTGCTGCAGGCAGATGAGAACCTCGTCCCTCTCCCTCTGCAGCTCCAACATGAACTGGAAGGGAGGGGCAGAGGGAGGTTAGCACCCGACTGACCCACCGGGTCAGGCTCGGCGGCGTGACGCTCGCTGCAAGAGTTTGCGCCTCAGTGAGTCAAGGTCTCTCCCCAAGATCCTCAGTGTTTCCCCACATCTCTCCACAGCGCTTCGTAGTGTCTCAAAGCACATCTCAGTGCCTGACTGCGTTTCTTAGGGTTTTCCAAAATCTCCAGGTGTCTTAGTCCAACCCAATGTTCCTCAGTGTCTTTGAGACTTTTGCCCCTATATATCTTCCAAAGCCTCTCAGTGTGTCTATGTGGCTCTTAAAAGGGAACTACTAAGCTATTTTACTATTTCAGGGTTAGACAGAATCAGCATTGATGAGTGCATTTCAAACCACAAACTAAAATATACACAGTAACATCTAAAAGCTCTAATTTACATCACAGAATAGAAGAAATGTCCAGGTATGCACAGCGCCATGTTCTGTGATTCAGAACAAGTCGACAAAACTTCCGGTGAGGTGACGCTTCCCTATGACATTGTGAACAAGCAGGACTGAGAATCCATCTCTTTTAATCCAATAGAAACATTGCTCTCGTGAGCACCTGAGATGGTTTTGCAGACAAAGTCTCATGATTTGTTAGGTCTGCATGCAGATCACGTTGGGACATTTCTGCAGTGAAATATCTGCTGCACAACCTGTACTTATTCGCTCGTATATCCCATTACATTAGTCTTACAGTGACTAGTGAGCAGGAAGGGCTGCTTCATGTCGCAATTCTTACAAACTCTCGCTCTCGCCTGTGGCAAGACCAGGGTTTGCGACAACATGTACAGTACATACACAAATTTCACAATATCGTGCTTAATTCGGAGTTGGTAAAATTTAGCAAAACTGTCAGTTGATTGATTTTGTTTCTGAAATGTAATAACCGGCCTGTTCCTCTTTAATATGTCTCAGTGTTTCTCAACTGCGGCCAAACTGTCTCAGCTTCACTTCGTGTGTCCTAGTGCTCCTCAAAAGCCTCAAAGTCTCACAGCTCGTCTTGACGTCTCCCCCAGACTCTGTGTGTCCCTTAGTATGTCGCTGTCTTGCAGTGCCTTGGCGTCTCCGTGTCTCTCCTAGCTCACGTCAATCTTTCTCCTGCAGCTCTCACGGCCTAAACGTGTTTCAGGTGGGTCTGCTTCTGCCTCTGCCACCGTGTCTGAAGATCCCGAGCGACTGCGCTCTGGAAGGGCACATGTGGAAATACGCCAAGGGGTGGCGGGTGGCGGTGGCGTCTTCCCGAAAAGCTGAGGGCGAAAGGCGTGTCCACCCTGTTCTGGACAGCGGAGGACCGGTGCGGGGCACCTGCGGGTTGTGCAGGAAGCTGTCTCGGTGGTTGACGCAGCCCCCACAGCGCCCCTCTGACCACTCCCCGTAGCGCCGCGCCTCCCGCCACCTGGGCCGCGGGCACAGTAAGGCGCGCTCCATCCGCCGGCACACCACCACGTCCGTGAAGAAGCGGCAGAAGTCATCGAACTCCATCCTGGGGGGGAGAGGAGAGACGGAGGGCTAATGAGGGCCTCCACCCGCGATCGTTAGGAAATGACGATAACAGAAACAATAATCACCAGAACTCTCCGTCATCTCTTACGGTGACGCCCATCTTCTCTCTCTCACTGCGGCTCACCTGCTGCCACTGTGGAGACCTGCAGGGGGCACCAGACACACACTGTTCATAGAGCTTCAACTCCCAGTTCAAACAGTGTTATTAAAAGCACTGGTCTGCGGTCTGCTGACTATTCCAGTCGGTACTATTTATATCTTAAACTATGGACAAACCAGTGAAAAACACCAGAGTTACTGCATTGTACAGCATGCAGTCCAGGCGGTTTACATTACAGTACATAAGATCTTGGCTTGAGGTTCCAGTCTGTCTATATTGTTATACGGGACTTCCACTTTCTGAGGGGTCACTTGGGCCCCAGTATGTAACACATGTCAAGAACAGCCTCTCCACAATGCAAAAATGAATTATTCTCTGTCTTTCTCTGATAAGCAAATTCTCTGTCCTAAGGTGCTCTGAAATATTTTTTTTGCTGGGTTCAGTTCTTATTGTGTTCCAGCTGGTGGTATCTTAAATAAATTGGCATCCTTTTCGTGATGTGGGCTGGATAAGCCTGAGTTATGACCCGTATTGGGCCCCAGATGATCACTCAGAAATAGCAGGCCCCTGTGACAGATGGTGTCAGTAGTGGGATTAAATGCCATTATACTATATTAGAGTATATAACTCCATTTTAGACATAAGTCGGTTTCACAGTATATTACTGCTTCTGTCTGGTCTATTTATATTATAGCTCATAAGTCCTACTTCCAGACCAGCCAGCAGTCCGTATTACAGTATATTAGCCTTCCCTGCACCCCAGTCGCTAGCCTAGATCACAGTGTATTACCCATGGCTCCAGGCCCCAGTCCAGTCCGCAGTACCCCAGGGGTTCCTCATTCGGATCATGTGCAAACGGGACTTCTTGAAGAGGGCTAGCAGTCCACTGCCCACCCTCACTTTTCGCACGGCGGTCACCCCATAGGCGTGGCCCTTCACCAGCCCGCAGTCCAGCACCGACTCCACGCCTTCCCCCTCGCCAGGCTGCGGGACAGGGGTGAAAGAGGCACCTCAATGGGGCGATTACTGTCCAAATGATGCTTAGCAGGAAAGACCAGGAGAAGCTGTGCTTTTGATGGGCAATTAATGGAGAGAGGCACAGGGACTGTATAGGAAGCTGTGGTTCTGACCCGGATGGAGCAGGTGATGAGGGCTCCCCCCCGGCTGTGCACCCGGCTCAGGGTCTGGTACAAGGCCCTCCTCTGGTCGGGGTGCTGGGCCAGCCCGACCCGGTCCAGACAGAGCGGCTCCGATACCCCTCCCGTGAAGTCCACCAGCGCCTCGGCCGTGTTGCCCCCCTCCAGGGCCTCGTAGCACCCGTTCAGCCTGGGAGAGAGAGATCAGGCGGTGGAGGGGAGGGGTGAAGAAAGAGAAAGACAGAACGAAGCAGCAGAGGCTTGAGGGAGGGAGGCAGAGAAGCCTTCAGCTTGGGTCTGTCCTGTTCACATGAGTGTGAGGAAGGATCAGACTTGTTCACTGGGCGGAGGGAGGCATGGGTTTCCTTACTGGTGAGGGATGGGGGATTGCTGTTTTCCCGAACACATCATGGACAAGGATTCTTACCTTATATAAAACACGTGACCTTTTTGTGACCAGTTCACATGAGCCAGTTCTTTATTTAAAAAAATACACGCATATAACATCCTGATTTAGTTCAGTTTTTTGTACCCGGTCAAGTGAACCTCTGTCAACTTGACGAAATCAACCTGAGTTCACCTGAGAGGTGAGGGGTGAGAACCTTAGACATCCAACTCAACCCTTATTTGTTACACTCTATAACAAGCATCTCCAGGTGAAAGGTCAGGGGTCAGGGGTCAGGGGTGAGGCAATGATGGGGAAAGGGAGAGGGTCTCACTTGGCATAGGCCTTCTCCAGCAGGGCGCTCCAGAACTCGCGGGGGTTGGTGGAGCGGCAGAACAGGAGCTGGCCGTCCGGCCCAACGGGCAGCCGGTCATCGATCACCACGTCCGTCCACACGCCCAGGCGCCAGAATCGGAAGTGGAAGATCCCGGCGTAGAGGTCTGGTCGCTTGGGGTTCCACTCCTGTTCGCAGTGCCCTGGGATCACCTGGGGGAGAGAGAGAGCACTGTTTCAGCTCCTCAAACACAGAGAGGTCTCAGAAAATCCATCCGTCTGTTGAGAGCCCTTGAGCTTGTCTTTTCTGAATTTGTACATTGCAGCTCCTGCCCTGCTCTTGTCCTTCAGTGTCGGTTCTAGATATATCTGTTTTACGCTTTAAGATCAGAGAGTCGATTCTAGGCTCTAACATCCTCCTCACCTTCTTCCACAGCGAGGGCTCAGTCGCCAGACAGGAAGTGGCGGCCACCATCCAGCAGTTACCCAGGCTGCCCTGGTGCAAGTCCCGGGAGCTAATCCCATCCACAAAGAGTCTGGGGTCCTTACACAGCTCCTGGGAGAGAGGAGCAGAGTGGTGGAATGGCCAGGGACTCTAATGTTGGACAATACGTTTTGAACAAGAACCTCTCTGTTTGGAACTTGCTTGCTTCTATGTGTATCTAGACTGTACAGCTGTTTGTTGACAGTATGTGTGTGTGTGTGTGTGTGTGTGTGTGTGTAATTTGTTCAGGTGTGAGTCCACAATGTGTGTGCACCTTCAATGTGCATTCATTCTTCAGTGTTTATGTGCTACAGTATGAAGGTGCGAGTTTACATGGTGTTAGTTGTGTATGCAGCTGTGTGTTTCTGCTGTGTGCCTATTGTATTGGTACAGTATAAGTGTGTCTGCACTGTGTGGGCTGGAGTGTGTCCATTTTAGCTAAACTGACTAAGCTCTGTAACCCGACACTGAGAGATGCCAAGAGACAGGCCTCAGGTGTCGCAGCCCTAATCAACCGCTTAACACGCATACACACAGTTATATAATCCTCACAAACTGCATGTACAGTAAACTGCACAAAGACAGGTTATGAACACCAAAAAAACATGCAGATACACACAGCCGCATGTGCTGGCCCAGGGTTTACTGCATCTCTGGACTGTGTGTGTACAGCATGAGGTGACAGATGTCGCGCTGGAATTTGACTCTCAGCAGGGACAAGCCTAAAATACCTAATAGATCTTAGGCCTTCAACTCTGAACTGTCCTGTGGCAGGAGAGTCATTGTATCTCCCTACAACAAGATAAATACTATCATATACATGAATACAGTGTCCCAACCCACACTGCAGATCTCTGTCCCAATATTAAAATTCTGGGAATACGGTCTGATGTGAATTTCTAAAGCAAAATTCAGGTTATTTTCTATACACGTCTCTCCCTCCCTCTTGTTTGCCTCTCTCTCCCTCCCTGTCTCACTCTTTCTCTCCCTCTTCCCTAAACCCTCCATCTCTCTCTGCTCCCTCTCTCCTCGCTCTCTCTCGGCCATGTGCTAAAGTCATCAGCTGTGGTCCTGTGCCTAAAGTAAACACAGCGTTCAGGAACAGCCTGCACACACGCGCCACTCTCCCGCCAGGGGTATGGTTACACAGGGACGGACGCCGCCCCTTAATTAGACCCTGCCCTTGAATTAGGCTGCTCTTTAATTAGCTTGACGGAGGGGGTTCCTGAATTAGATAGAGGGGACAACTGCTGTTCTCGGAGAGGGTCGCTGGCTTATACCCCTGGATGTGGTCTCTAGTGTATCCATACATGGCAGTTGTTCTCCTTCCCAGAAAACTTCCTCTACATTTCGTCTGACTTGCTTCTGCTGTGAGGTTTCATCACTCTGCCATCTTTCTGCAACACACTACGCCAGGAGACCCTGACCCTTGATAGCCCCCCAAGACGTCTGGTTTAGCGAACCTGTCACACCAGCGGCCCAGCGCCTGCTCTTTTTAAAAGAGTTAATTTCTATCAGGGAGGCCAAACAACTGAGCACACTTCAGAGTACAGCACTTCCCTCTGTACAGGAGATTTAAAAAAATCCAATACCTGTGATGGTGAGACGTTCACTTGTGCACCTGTAAACTGGTGTTTGATTTTGT